CCTCTAGGTTTCTTGCCATGCTGCGGACGCAAGCTTCAGATGAAGAAGTGAATGATGTGTGCTCCCGGCGCCGATTTATACGATAGTCGCACCGGTAGTGACGTCATGGCTGTCGCCGGCCAACGAGTTGGTGTTTTTTCAATGTATGCTTCAGACACGGGTCACGACGAGGCGTTCCCCATAGCGGCCCCTAGAGGACGCAGTGTCTCGTTCCCTACTCAGGGAACCATGGTTACATAAGTAACCTGAGACGTTTCTCACTGACATGGAAATCCTGAAATTATAGGGATACTTGGATAAAATTGTGATTTCCAAGCCTGGAAACATCATGGAAATGTACACAATATTTACAAATTCATTGAAAATGTATTATTCATATTTATGCTCAGGTCAGTGCAGTCTTTATTGTTTTGAAAATCCTTATCCTGCACTCACGAATGAACGCAAGATTCATAGAAATGCATTGTTCAAAGCTTTGGGAAAATTGGTATCCATTTAAAATCACTACTTTGTTCCCATTATTTATGTGCATGATTTTTTATGTGGTGCGTGATTCCATGTGTGACCTGCAAGAGTCAAGCATCTTTTCATCACAATACAAACTGATGGTCTGCTGGAAAAATAAAATGCACTCATATCTAAAACTTTTTCCAGTTAGAGCTGTACCTGATACAAAAATGAATGCACAAGTAGGCTGCTGATCACTTTGTGCATCTACTGTATATGTGTGTGGGTGCATGTCTGTTTAAATTATCATATCATTTTATATTCTGATTTACTGGTAAGAGTACCAATTGCTTTACCATCTGCAGAACCCCAGTATATACTTATTACTGACATTTAGCAAGACAGTAGAAAACGTTTCCAAACCACTGACTCGAGTCAGTGCCGTCAGGGTCTATATTTTTACAGTACCCACCATAAATCTCAAGTCTCCACAGGCAGCATCATTTTTCTCTTAATGGCAGATATTTTCTTCTAGCTGGTACCATTCAGAGACTGGGTTTTAAATGAGAGCACATTTGTGTGCTGTTTGACTAATTTGTTTAGTCTCTAAAGCTAATGCAGCAAATTTGGCATTCGTGTTAACTATTTCTTTTGTAATAAAATATTTTTGTGTGTGTCTTAAAAGCAGATTCAAAAGTTTTGCTTTGGAATCTGTGAGAATACTATTGTTGAATTAACAGGTACATTAGGACTGGATCTAAATATCTATGGAATGTGATGATGGAGAATGAGGAGATATATGGAGAATGAGGAGAAACATACAGTATATACACACATATTCTCAGGGGTCTTGAAATAGTGCTCCAAAGCCTTATTATTTGTCTCCCCCTAGTGGTCATGACTGTAGTAATATAATCCTCTGGTCCCGATTTCAATACTGCCAGTCCTGCTTCTCCTGCAGGCAGGCTTAATATTATTTTTGGATATCTGCCTTATCTGACACAGATTTCAGGTATTGGATTCTCTATTAAAGAGTTTATTAAATAAATAAGATGTACTATATAATCGAGACAGCCATAATGTGCAGTGCTAGGACCAGGAATGAGATCCACTAATTTGTAGGAATGTCTGAAAGAGATATACTGCATGCATGTTATTTACATTCAGGGCAAAATGCAGTGACTACTACAACTTATTAGTGCAAACAAACAAACAAACAATAAAATGGAGGCGCATGCTTAGCGGGAGGTTGGAAAAATCGAATTCAACTGCATGCACACAACTGTACGCATACCCTATGTATGCATAAAAAGTGAAGTATACTTCGGGATTGACTGGAAAGTTCATCTAAATGTAAAAATAGGGTAAGTAGTATGCATATATTGACTGATACCACTAATTAATTTAACAACAGTCCAACATTCCTCTGGTTATGACTGTCCTGTGCTCTCAGCAAACAAAGGTGAAAATGTTGTATCAAAAGACAATAAATTCCCTCCCACTTCATTTGTTTGTACTGAAGAAATTAAAATGTTCACAAGTAGCCTATTGACATTTATGCTCTTTCATTTATGCTACATTGACATTTATGCTCTGTAAATATGTGTTACATACCTATATTTTAAGTGATGTTGATTCTCTTTTTCTCTTTCTGTCTGTTTTAGGGGGCTCTCTGCAATGGGCCCGGTACCCTTAATGCTCCTGCTTTGCATCTCAGCACTGACTGTGCTGGTGTCTGCAGCAGTGGGCGATCCCACAGGTGACGATGACTACACCTGGCCGCAGAGGAAAGTACCAATGGTACAAGAAAAGCAAACAGTGCATCTGGGCAGTTCTGAGTTTTTGGCTAAGCTGCAGACTGAGCTCCATGGAATATGTGGCATTGAGTGCCAGCGGGGTCTACCAGAGCCCAGCCTGGACGATCTGGAGCAGCTACTGTCCTATGAGACAATGTATGAAAATGGAACCCGCACGCTAACCACCGTCACCATACAGGAGCTAAACGTTAGTTTTGATTGGACGGAAGGTTTTGGGTTACGTTCTAGGCGCAGACGAGAAGTCTATGGCATGGACACACGGTTTACCATCGCTGAGAAGCAGTACTCCTTGAAGTATCCATTCTCCACATCTGTGAAGATCTCCACGGGTTGTTCTGGAGTGTTGGTGTCCCCCAAACACGTCCTGACTGCTGCTCATTGCATCCACAATGGTATGGACTACCTGGATGGGGTACAGAAACTCAGCGTTGGTGTGCTGAAAGAACGTTCCCGCCAAAAAGGGAAGGGACGGAAAGGGAAAGGACGGAAGGGGAAAGGCAAGAGGAAGCATAAAGAAGAAGAGGAGGAGGAGGAAGAGGAGGAAATCAATGAAAATATAGAGATTGGAGAGAAGCAGGAGCGTAAGGGAAAAGGCAAAGGCAGGAGAAACCGTAGTCGCCGCAGCACCACCTCCGAGCAGCCCTCGTTCCGATGGACCCGGGTGAAACAGATGCAGGTGCCGAAGGGCTGGTTTAAAGGGATCTCGGAGAACGTTGTGGCTGATTATGACTACGCCATCCTGGAGCTTAAAAGGGCGCAGAAGACCAAATACATGGATCTCGGTGTCGTCCCCTCCGTCAAGACGCTGCCTGCAGGACGTGTCCATTTCTCGGGATTCGACAACGACCGGCCAGGCAACCTGGTGTACCGCTTCTGCTCCGTGTCCGAGGAGTCCAATGACCTGCTGTACCAGTATTGCGATGCGAAGCCTGGCTCCAGTGGCTCGGGTGTCTACATTCGGCTCAAAGAGCCTGGCAAGAAGAAGTGGAAGCGAAAGATCATTGGAGTGTTCTCGGGTCACCAGTGGGTGGATGTTAATGGGATGCAGCAGGATTACAACGTGGCCGTGCGAATCACACCCCCCAAGTACGCACAAATCTGCCTCTGGGTCCATGGGGACTCCAGCCAGTGTCTGGGCACTTGAGAGACTCCATCAGCCCGTCTGACTGCCACTGTCCCGGCTCTCAGCAACCCTTGTGCCTCCCATTTGTGCACTACACAAACTGCTGCATTCATCAACACTAAAGACTATAACACACCTACCATTGAATTTTCCCAAGCTATTTTGATACCTTAATTTATTTTATTGGACCATTTTTGTTATGAATCAGTTAGAGCGAATGTATTTCTAGATTAAGTTGTCCTAACGAGAACTAATTCTGTCCTAAACTGTCGTTTTGAATTAGAAAATGTACTTCAGTCAGTGTTGTTTGATATGGGAGGCATTTGTTTTGTCTGGTAATCTGTCTGGATACCTTGAAGTAGAAAGCTAGATGACTAGTTGACACAAGGAAAAAAAAAAACTTTTTTTCTGAGAAAAAAACTTTGTTTATTTGTGGATTTTACTTCCCTTTTTTCATCTTGAAGAACGCATTTGACTATCAATATGCTGGTGTTCTTTGAAACCCTTTGTTCTTGTTATCATTATTATTAAATGTTATGATTGTGTGACTTTGATAGCATAAACTGTAACCTGTCTTCATGGGCTTCCATTTACAATTGTTCTGCTTTTTGTATTACAGTGAAGGCAGTTAGTTGGAGGTTTAACCTTCAGAGTCAGATGCCCTTGTTGACTTTTGGTGCTAATTTAATTTTAAAATATAAAACATCAGATGACCTGTCGGAGTAACAGTCTACTGTAGAACTGTAAGTATGTATTTAATGTAAGACTCCTATTATGAGTTTCATATGATTATGTCGTTCTTTAAAAAAATACACAGGGTTATTTAAATTTAGATATGCTCAATGATACATATCATTGTAATTATGATAAAGAGAAAAGCAATATAGCTTGATAGGAAATATAAATTGAAACTTTTAATATAAAATTGATGTTTTCAAATACAGAGTGCATACTTTTTCAATTTGTACAACTTGTTCTAAATGTTTGTTATCGAGGACCAAATAAACTGAGATTTATATGTATTGGTCTAAGAGGACAGAATAGTGTAATTTTTTTTATCAAACTTACATTGTTTTTCCAATTTGCTTTTAATTTTCACTCGATTCTTTATTTCTCTGTAACCCTATTAAGATATTTTAAAGATTAAAAAGTATATATATATAAATAATTATTTAGAAAATATATAAGAATATTTTTTTTTTTTAAACCAGACATATACCTTAAACTTTGCAGCTTAAAAATGACTGAATAATGTTAGTCTTTTTTTAATTATCATGTGTTGATACAGAGCCATCCTTGTGAAAACAGACACAGGGGGACACAGGTGGGCATTTCTTCCCATCAGTGTTTATTGCATCTCAAAGGGCTTACATGCACTATGTAGGGGTGTCAAATATGAATCAATAAATCAAAATAAAAAATATTTTAAGAGAATTACAAGAGAGATCCAAATATCTGCCTTTGTCATTTCCACGAGAGATCCAACAGGGAGAGTGAGTTACAGAGGCTCGGCCATACAGGGCTGTCAATCAGACCTTTCTGTAACACTGTTTAACAGTGACCTCCTGAAAACTTCTAACAGATCTAAGAGTTTATCTCTGCTAATGAACCTACACTTTAGTTTCTATGAAATCAGGTATTTTCATCCAATTTATCTCCTCCACACTCTATTTTGCTGTGCAAGCTACAGTACCACCACTCACCAATAGAGGGAGCATGAATCAACCGTTACATGTAACAAACAAGGGTCAGGGTTCATAATGTATGAGCAGGAAAGACTGAGAACCAAACATATGGATGGGTACTTCTACAATTATACAAAAAAACACTACATGTACCAGCTTCAATTTGGATTTCATACAAGCACAAGTAACTATGAGACTCAAACACAGCATTCCACTGACTACAACTGTGAAATCTTGGGGGCTTTTTTGGGAAACATCACCAGTTTAACAAGTGGCTGTACATTTGTTATTTTAAGATACTGCAAAAGGCCTTTCTTAGAGATCGTCTGAGAATTGTAGCGCTGAGATTAAGTGAATTAAAGTCCAAATTTGCTGAGGTTATTTTCTTGGGGAAGTCCAAAGAGAGTATTTAAACCGTGAACTGACAATTAAATTAAATTCAAACCAAAGAATCAAAAAATACATATATATCTGAAAAATAAATACCAGTTAAAATACAAAAATTACATGTAATCACCAAGAGGGTTATCTAGGATAGAGGAGCCTGGATATGTTATTCATTTATACATAATTCATATATATTTAGATTTCATATATATATTATTTGTAAACAAACATGTCAATCAATGATGGGAGATGACAACAGCATGACTTATAATCCGAGTACCAGGTTCACATCAATAAGTCGTCCACAGATAAAAATTTGAGCAGAGGAGAGACCTTTTTTGGTCAATGAGGATAAAATACACAGAGTAATTTCTGCGAATGATACATTGCACACTTCTCCAAAATTAACATACAACAGAAAGTGCTTCAACAACCTGTTTAGGATCTCTGACCCCAAAAGGGAAGTCCTAGAGGAACCAGAAGTTGAGGGGATCAACATACACACATTCATTTCAGACGTAAACACTGGAAAAGACATACATACGCATCTTTTTTAATCCTTCATTTTCATTTGTGTGTTTTTCTTAATTTTATTCTGTTTCATTCAAAACAAAGGATAACATCGAAATATGCACATCTTCATTTTTCGGCTTGTTTTCTCTATGATTCACTTCACGGTTTGTGCTACAACACGACACAGGAAGGCTGGGTGGGGCAGTGTAGGCGGGGTTTGGTTTGGGGGCGGGGTCAGTGGATATCTAGCTGCAGCTCCTCAGGTGTCTGGGGGTGTAAACAGACAGCAGACTTCTCGTACTGGAGCTCAGTCTTTGAGAAAACAAATACTGCAAACAGAGCACGGAGAAAATGTCACGGTTCTTTGTGATTTAGTGCCTCATTTAAGTAGCCACTAGAAAGATAATGATACCTGGGAAATTATAAGAAGTCCTTGATGTTGAGATCTGCAAGGGGGTCCTTGGTGGGAGGTTTTTTGGGGCTCTGAGCAGTTGGCCCTGGAGACAACTGAGAAAGTAAAGGGTGCATGAGGAAATGATTATGCAAACTGATTAAAAAATATATATACTCTACTGTTTGGGGTCAGTACGATTTTTTTTTTTTAAAGAAAGAAATACTTTTATTCAGCAAGGATGCTTTCAATTGTGAATGCATTAAAAAGTGTCAATAAAGACTTTTACATTATAACAATGTAGTTGGTTTCAACATTGGGAATAATAAGAACATTTCTTGAGCAACAAATCAGCATATTAGAATTATCTCTGATGGATCATGTGACACTGAAGACTGGAGTCATCACAGAAATTAATTACACTTTAAAATATATTAAAATAGAAAAGTTATTCTAAATGTAAATGTAATAATATTTTACAATTTTATGATTTTTTTAATCAAATAAATGCAGCCTTGGTGAGTATAAGAAACTTCCTTCAAAAACATTAAATGTTATTAAACGTTAAATGTTTGAATTGTAGTATTTATCACGGGCTGGGGCATCATGGGAGCTCCTGCTGCTGGAGCCTGAGTAAAAAATAAGAAATAAAGTATCCATCTGTAAGTGCATACTGTAAGTGCAAAATACAGAGACTCTTTAACGTTTTAAACAGTGATTTCTCACCATGCCAAAGCCAGGCTGTGCTCCCATGGGTGGTGCCATTGCTCCAGGTGGGGCGGCAGCTCCGGGGGCTCCAGGGGCAGAGCCAGACTAAACACAATCGCAACAGGACCACAATAAAATATACACTAAAAATATATAGTGTAGAAACAATTTTCACTCAGAAATTGCTAGTAAATTTCATAAATACAAAGAAAGGCAAGTACACTGATAAAGAATTAAAACAAATTTCACTCAGAAATTGCTAGTAAATTAAAAAAATAATTACAAAGAAACAGCAAGTAACATTGAATTAAATGTCAAATTTTGAAGTAGAAAGACTGAAACATTTTTAATTTTTTAAAGGGTTAGTTCACCCAAAAATGAAAATTCTGTCATTGATTACTCACCCTCATGTCGTTCCAAACCCATAAGACCTTCACGAGAGTACCACGACGCATGCATGTGATGCTGCTGCGCCTTGTTTACAAGCAGAGGAATGCACATTCATGAGTTGTGGTACAGGTGAATGGCTGTGGAGACTGACCCGGAAGAGATGAATCGTTGAATAAAGTCGTTGTTTTTATTTTCTTTGCGCACAAAAAGTATTCTCGTAGCTTCATAACATTACGGTTGAACGACTGATGTCACATGGACTATTTTAACAGTGTCCTTAATACAGAGTTCTGGCATGAAACTCTAGATGGCACAGTCCGATAGGTCTAACTCAATCTGACCTAATGACATCATCACATGGCACAGCTGATTGGTTCTCTCCTGTATCGGTAGCCAATGAGCTCGCTGCTCAACATTCAAATATATGATTAGTGCTTGCAGTAGCAGTTGCAGCTTGCTTCAGAAACCCTCCACCTTCCCCAGCTCCACCTGTATAGATCTGCTACGAGGTGATTCATATACGCTATATGGGGGTTAATTCATGCATGTTATATTTGCAGCAGCAATATTTCTTACATGCTCACAGCAGCATGTTGTGGATGTATTGGCAGTAGCACGTCTCGGTACTTGCTCTGCCGCAGCAGCAGCGTAGCAGATCTATTCCGCCAAGACCAAATACATTAACATTGTCATGACAGAACTACGTTTCTGGGCCATAAAATGTTTCAGTTGCGTTGCTGTCTATGCTGAGTCAGAAAGCTCTCGGATTTCATCAAAAATATCTTAGGGGTTTGAAACGACAGGAGGGTGAGTAATTAATGACAGAATTTTCATTTTTGGGTGAACTATCCCTTTAAGAAAGAAGCAAGCGCTACCATCTGAGCGCCAGGTGTGCCCCAGCTAGTAGGGGCGACCTGAGGGGTCCAGTTAGCTCCCCCTGTCAGCTTCTTCTCATTCCACTGGTTGTCCCTGTACAAAACAAATAGCTGTCAGGCAACATGATTTGTGTAAATAATTTTTCTCGGTTCATAAATACAGCTCTAGGGCCACACAAAGTGAACATGATTAAATTGTGCTCCAAGGGAGAGCAAATCAATCAAGCTTCCATAACAGTTCAAATGAATTGTCAATACAGGTCAGGTTGAGTAATTCATGTCCGTGAATAGACATTATGAATAAGTGACAAGATTAATAGGTGTCTGGAAACACCTACAGTGGAGATGCGCTGCAACAGACACTGAACTTACTTCTTTTGGCTTCCCACCCCCAAGTCTACAAGAGAGGAAGAAACGAGATAAGTTAGAGTCGGCAATGACGGTGTGTAAATTGACCCCTACATACTCTGTCCATCATTATTCCATACGTACTTCCGACCAAATTGGCGAGTGAAAAGTCTAAGTCTCCTCCAATAGGTTTGATTGGTTGGGCAGCTGCTGTGGGTGCCATTGTTGGGGCCATTGCTGGTGCCATGACTGGAGCCATTGTCGGCCCAGTGGTGGGCACAATTCCAGGTGTCAAAGGCGTGCTCGCTGCAGCCATGGGGGTCCCGCCTGTGCTCTGAGGCGTTATGGCTGGCATCAGAAGGTCTCCTAATCCATCAAACACTGGGGTTGGCACAGAGGAGAGTGGGTGAATATAGCCAGCATGGATTTAGACCATTTTAGACTAGACTTGATTTGGATTTACAGTACAACTTGTCAGCAATCCCATAATACACTAAGTCAGATGTAACAGGAGTAAAACAAAAGACAGAAACAAAATTATATATATATACACAGTATACAGTATATCAAATGAAATCTCTTAATGATCTCTTTCTACTGGCAAAAGTACTGTCATCCATGAGCGTACAAATTTATATTATAAACAATTGAAATCAGTACAAAAATTCAGATCAAACTATGGTACATTTTTTGTTTTGGCTCTCCTGTAAAGTTGGTGAAATGTCACTTATGCCTTTCTGGTTCTCACCCCTCGATCTGTAATCAAATACACCTGAACTTTGAGTTCAGCTCATGAAAAATGGGGGCAAAAACAAAAGTGTTGCGTTTATAATTTTGTTCAGTGTATATACAGCACATATATATATATATATATATATATACACACACACACTACTGTTCAAATATTTGGGGTAGGTAAGATTGTTTTACGTTTTTGAAAGTCTTTTATGCTCACCAAGGTTGCATTTATTTATCAAAATACAGTAAAACCAATAATATTGTGAAATATTTTTACAATTTAAAACAACTGTTTTCTATTTTAATCTAGGCTAAATTTTCAGCATCCAGTCTTCAGTGTCCCATGATCCTTTACAAATCATCTTGAATTGATGCTCAAGAAACATTTCTTATTATTATCCATGTTGAAAACAGTTGTGCTGCGTAATATTTTCGTGGAAAATAAAATTTTTTTCAGGATTATTTGATGAATAGAAAGTTCACACGATGTGTTTTTATTTGAAATTAAAAAGTTGTAATAATGTCTTGTAATAAAGTCTTGACATTTGCTTTTTATTAATTTAATGCATCCTTTCTAAACGATTGTATCACTTTCAAAAAAAAACTGTCCCTAAACTTTTGAACAGTAATGTATTAATGTATAAAAAAAATTAGGTATTCATTCATGAGGTATTAAGAAAACTGCATTCAGGAGTGTTTACTACATGCATTAGAAAGTCGCAAACTGGCAACACACATCAACACATCGTATGAACAGGATTTCCATTGCATTACAATATGGTTGGATGCATTCAGGCACCAAAGAAAAAATCCTTTCTGAAGAACCAGTTGTGATGGACGAGGAAATGGGCTGAGTTCCAACACCTCCCAGTCAATGACCCAAAACTTTAACCTTAAAAGCAAACGTTTAGGGTCTTCAAAAATTGTTAAGGTGCACCAAGTATTTTTTCAGCTCACAATGACTTTCTGCAAGTTTTACATCTAAACAAATGAAGAAATGTTACTTTTTACAAACGTTAAAAAATGTACACTCTGAAAAACCATGAAAAATTAATAAAGTATCAAAAATTTGGTTAAAGATTGGTCTGTAAAATTTTGACATTCTCATCATTTTGTATATGAATGTTATTTATATCAACATAAATTACATAACATTTTGTGAGACAAATGGACTAAAATGAATGAATATAATATGATGAAACATTAAAAAAATTTAAAAGACTTTTTTTTTCAAAATACAAAACCTATGACTAGAACAAAAAGTGTGTATAAATTAACACAGATTGTCAAAAAAACCTACAGTATGGCACTAGTATCCAAAAACCTTTTCTTATAACCAGATCCAGGCCTATAAACATAAGTCCAAAGTACCTAGTGCACCATTTATAAAAAAAAAAATTCCGGTACCAACAACACAAGGCAGGCAATTTATTCTAATGCAGCAATGCACAAGATCTGTAATGTGGGTGTGCAGGGAAAAACTGCACAGAGGTCAAAGGGTAAAGGGTGTGCAGGAAGAACAAACAGCGCTAGAACATTCACATCTCCCAAACCCTTCGGTGTGATCAGATAAAACGATACATGCTGCAAAGCCCTGAGTTCTCTCGCCAACTCACCAATGGCACAGCAGGAGCAAGCAATGAGCCAGATCAGTGTGCAAGGAGAGAGTTATCAGAAACAAAGCGCAGAGACGACAGAAGAATGGGACAGATCATAAAGTTGAGAAAAAAGTATTACAGTAAGAGAGCAAGAATGGACAGAACACAAATTTAAATGAAGAAGGAGAAAAAGCACAGGGAGAATGCATTTTATAAGCGCTGCCAGATCCTCTCTGTATTATTTAAGAAGGTCAGCAGATACAGAAGTGCTCATGCAAGGCAAAAGTGTGCTGAGAAGCAAGCAAGCCTGAAAGAAGCCTCGCTGTGTTCAAGAGAAACTAAAAGAAGTTTTTTCAAATAGGTAAGTGTTCATGTTTAATAAGAGTATATTTATCTGTTCAAAAACCCAAGTGAACATATATAATTTGATTTCTTACCTGATGTGTCAAAACCACCAGAGGGCGCTGCGGTGGCAGGGGCGCTGTCTTCCGACGCTGGTGTGGCGGATACCAGCTCAGAGCCAAAGGCATCAAAAGCAGACTCCAGCAGGTCAGCTGGGGCTGAGGATGGCACTGGTGCTGGGGTTGGTGTAACTGTGGGGGCGACCGGTGAAATCAACCCTGCAGACAACAACAGATAAGATGCCAAATCCATAGCACACTTTAAGATTCTTAACAGTTCTTAAATATCTAAACAGTTCATTATGGTCCAGCATAAGAGCAATATCAAAACATGGTGTTTCTGAACTATATTACTGTTTAAATGTACATAAACAGTTTTTTAAAAAAGTATTCTAGCAAAGGCTATCAATCAATAAAATGTAACTTAATAAACAGTGGGGTCCAAAAGATTAATTGAGAAGCTGTGTTGTTTTATTATTTATATACTATTATAGTTTTTATTAATATTTTGAATTAGCTTTTATTTTAATATTTTTAATTTTAGTTTGTGCTTTAGTCATTTTTTTTCATGTTTATCATTTTTTTAAAGTATTTATATAGCTTTAATTTCATTTCATTTTTAGTAGTACTTCAACTTCAAACTTATTTATTTTTAAAAAGTATTTCATCTAATATTTTATTTATTATCTTAACTTTTTTATTTAAAATTTTAACTCATTTTATTTTAACATTTGTATAATTAATTATTATTAATTCTTTTTAGTTAACAATAACAACATAATTCCATTTAATATAAATTTCCATTACAAAACAACACAACAATTTGTGTTTAACTGAAAAATGAGCATTAATTCAAATATGTTTCCTATTATTGGTATATATTTATCTCCTAGTTTTAGTTTATAGAATAATATATATTTATGTAAATATTATTATTAATTTTTATTATTATTATTATTATTATTAGGTCAAATTTCCAATTAACAACAACAATAATAATAATAATAATTATTATTATTATTATTATTAGGTAAATTATACATTTAATAACAAAACATCAATACTAGTAATTAGTAATTATTACTTTTATTATTATTGATATATGTTGATTAATCTAATTATTCATTACTATTATTTATTTATTTGTTTGTTTGCTTATTAGCCCTTAACTGTATTACATAAATAGAACAGCTCTTCAGCAGTGCCACGTCTAACTTCTCCATTTCATCATCAACAAAAAAGGGCATTTTCCTAATCAGGATATGTGACCCATACCTCCAAGCAGGTCACCTGATGGTGCTCCAGGAGCAGCGGACTGGGTCTCCCCAGTAGTGTCACCAAATGTGTCTGTTCCAGAGACAAACGTCCCACAGCGCAGCATGAAGGAGGAGAAGCATTAGTCAGCCTTAAAGCTGCATACACACACTGAGAGAGGGGCAGATGGAGAGAGTGAGCCGAGATCATACTACAGGCAACACACTCCTACATTGCAACAAACACTGACGGATATGTGATCGGTGTATCTTCCCCCACTTACAAAGTACACATGACGGCACAGAATGCAAATACACTAAACTCAAACACACCAAACAAATATCTATCTTCCCAACTTCATTATCGTCTGCTCACTTAACAGACAAAACAAACCGCAGAAACTAGCCACTATAACTGAAAAACTGGGTTATGAAACAGCTGGTGTATACTTACCAGTTCATAATTGTTTTGCAGTTACTACAGTTCAGTGGATCAGGAGGCGCTGGCTGGTGTGTGACTGAGTGGAGGCGGGACTAATTTGCATATTCATAGATCCGCGTATATGAAAATGAGGCAAGGGTGTAGAGTTACAATCAAGCTATTTTAAGGCATGAGAAAATTATTTTCACAAGAAAAAACATTTAAATATGTAATTTTGATGATCAAAGATAAGTTTTAAGGGATAAAATATTTTACTACAGGGGGACTTTAAATGTTTATGCTAAGAAAACAAACAAGCTCTGCACAAATGAACAAGCTCATCAAGCTCAAATGTTGTGCAGTCAGATAAAAAACCCTGATCATAATTCACTGGGTTCCACCACAGCGGAAACCATGGAATATGACAATCTCTATATTGGTTTTCTGGATTGGTGTTTCGTATGAGCGAGTTTAGACACACCAAGGAGGTCCAGCACAGGTCCAGGTTCGGCTTTAGGAGGAGAGACAGGAGCCACTGGAGCAACAGCTGGAGCAACAAATGAGTCTAAATGGAAAAGAGAATATGGAGTGATTTTGACATTTCTAAATAAAATCTAGCTAATACTAGCAGTTTGGGATGCAACTGTAATGTATACAGGTGCATCTCAATAAATTAGATGAATTTATTTAATACACGAGTTTCACAATTTGAGTTGAATTACTGAAATAAATGAACTTTTCCACGACATTCTAATTTATTGAGATGCACCTGTAGTTGAAGTAAAAGTGCATTGGAGGAACATAAACTAAAATACAATACTTAATAATTAAAGGAATCCTTCACTCGAACATGCATGACTATCTGTCTTCTGCGGATCACAAAAGGAGAATTTATTTTGAAAGACTGTGCTTTTTCATGCAGTTAGAATGAATGGCAACTGGAAAACAAAATACCATAAAACTATCATAAAAGTGACTCATATAGCTCATGAACTAGATTTCAAGTCTTTTGAAGTCATTCAATAACTTTGTGTGAAAAACAGACTGAAATTTAGCTGAATTTGATCAAATGAGATTCACTGAATAGACTCAAAAGAAAAGAATGACTCATTCACTAAGTGGACAAAGTTTCAGAAAATTGATGCTTAAAAAATGCTGTAAATATCATGGAAAGTAGTCTCCCAGATTTCTCCTTTTGTGTTATACAGAAGAAAGTAAGTAAAGTGACAGCTATTCCTTATTGAAGTATGATAATAATAATTCATGGCACATACCGAGCAATTTATAAATACATTTAATGGTACTATTCAATAATTTAAAATTTTGTAATTTTATACAAATATTCATTACAAATTAAATTATTAGCATAATCTATGTTAAAAGTTGAACTGAAAAAAAGAGAAAATGTATTATAATTATAGAAGAATTATCATCACTATTATCGTTATTATTATTATTTGATAATATGATATATTTAGTATTAATAATAATAATGTGATTCATTATTAATTAACACAATTTATTAATTCATTAATAATTATAATATAATAATTCATGGTAAAAGACAAAACATGCTATGTTTAGAGAGACAAGCAAACTCACCAGACAAGAGGTCACCAGTCACACTGGCCTCAGGCAAAGGTGAAGGCCCACGTGAGACAGCGGGAAGATCTTTCGGACCAAAGCAAAGCAGTAAGAGGAAGTGGAGGAGGAAATGTAAGAGAAGAAATCACTAAGGAGCACAAGCATAGAAAGGACACAGAGTCGAGCTTTGGAGGGCGCAAACATGCACAAGTCCACGTTCCACTATGAGGACAAACCAAGACGGAGTGGGCCAAAAAACAGATGAGAAAGAAGAAATATGAGACTAGAAAAGACATGATCAACTCCTGTACCTGCACCAAATAGGTCTACACTAGGAGTGGTTGCTTTGGGCTCTGAGGAAGAGCTTTGCTCAGGCATAGAATCAAACATATCTATAAACAAGGACACACATATGCGTTACACTTTCAGTCAGAGCATATCAAGACAGCTTTAAGTGAGAGAGAGAAAGAGGAAACACCATTTAGATGTTAAAACATTTTGTTTTGCTTGCTCTTTTGGATAATCACTCTGAACAAGTAGCACAAGAGCCTACTCAAACAAGTCTACAGATGTCAATGCAAACGACAGCATTCAGATTTGGTCAAAAACACCAGAAAATGACTGCAGGACAAATGTGGTCACTGCAAATCCTGGATTTTGACAGATTGCAGTGCAATTTTAGAGGCCAAATGTGAATCAGTGACATTGACCACCCCTCTTTATTTACAACTATAATATTTTTGACATTGTTATTCAATAGCATTATTTAGAATTATAACTATTATTTTACAAATATTTTAAATATTTACAATACAGTTCAAATTTTTTAGTCTCATATGCTCACCAAGGCAGGATTTATTTGATCAAAAACACAGCAAAAACAGTAAATTTGTGAAATATTACAATTCAAAATAACTGTTTTCTATTTTACATTTAGTCATTTAGCAGACGCTTAAAACAAGTAGATAGAACAGAAAAAAATAGAAAGCTAGTGTTTTTTTTAATACAAAAAAGAAGATAAATACATAAAGTAGAATTAAAATAGTATAGAAAGTGCTAGATTTTATTTTAATACATTAAATTAAAATTGAATTTATTCCTGTGATGTCAAAGCTTAATTTTCAGCAGCCATTATTTCAGTCTTCAGTGTCATATGATCCTTCAGACATCATTCTAATATAAAACATTTTACTGCTCAGGAAACACTTATTATTATCAATGTTGAAAACAGTTGCTTAATATTTTTGTGGAAACTGTGACACCATTTTTTCATGATTCTTTGATTAATAGAAAGAACAGAATTTATTTGAAATACACCTTTTTTGCAACGTTATAAATGTCTTTACTGTCACATTTGATAAATTTAAAGAGATAGTTCACCCAAAAATGAAAATTCTGTCATTAATTAGTCACCCTTCATGTCGTTCCAAACCTATAAGACCTTCGTTTATCTTCGGAACACAAATTAAGATGTTTTTTATGAAATCCGAGAGCTTTCTGACTTTGCATAGACAGCAAGGGAACTACCACGTTCAAGGCCCAGAAATGTAGTAAGGACATCGTTAAAATAGTCCATGTGACATCAGTGGTTCAACCATAATTTTATGAAGCTATGAGAATTCTTGTTGTGCGCAAAGAAAACAAAAATGGAATGACATGAGGGCGAGTAATTAATGACATTTTCATTTTTGGGTGTACTATCCCTTTAATGCTTTCTTGCTGAACAAATGTATTCATTTCTTTGCAACTTTATTTGAACAGTAGTGTACAGATATATTTATATTTACAATTACAGTAATTATGTTTTTCTCAGATAAATTACTTATTTTGATAGGGTCAAGAATACTTCTCAGCACTGAAAAGGTGGTTAAGGCCACGATTCACAAACCAGAATGACCAAAACATAAAATATAAATCTAAATGAGAGAAATCAAACAAAATAGAATCTTGATAATGTTGGGGAACTAGCTCAACAAGTTAATATTGTCATAATGCAGAGTAAAGCAAGACAGAGGCAGAATTACAGCAGAGACATTACCACTAAAGAGGTCTAGTGTTGGCGGGGCTGTGGACTCAGTTGTAGCGGATGTGGTGATGGTAGTGGTGGTGGTGGTGGCAGTAGCGGTGGGAGGAGAAGGGGTAGCTGGGGTCGCTGTTGGCGAGATGCTCGGCTCGGCGCTAGTAGGGGATGCTGCGGCAGCGACACTCTCTACCGGCTTCATGGCAAAGAGGTCCAGCTCTGGGGCAATGCTTGCACTACCCTCCGATGGAGCCCAGGGGTCTTTATCGGGAAGGATTAGGGGTAAAAATGGAATGGGGAAGGTTTGTTAAATAACAAACACTGCAAACAAAAAAAGAAACACACTGAAAGCTCATAACTTCAGGACCACTGAAGTCACGGAGAGAGAGGAGATGGATTTTACTTTCAAAAGCACACTTTAAAACACCATTAACCTTAGTACTGCAACCACCATTAAATACACTATAAAAACTAAATGAACATCCTAGAAAAAAAATGATGTAGTTTTTATTCTGTTTTGTATAATTATACATCCCTCAGGATGCTTGCTGTCTATAGAGATACTATTAGTCATAGTAGATTACACAAAAACAAGGAAATACAGTCTGGATCCCATAGGCTGCGGATTTTTAAAGTCCTAGCCTTAATGTGGAAGCAGAGCTAAGTTAATGTTACAATAAAAGCACATATAAAGGCAAAAGTAACCCTTTTCATGTTATATCTCAGTAGCCGCATTATGGAAATACAACCACTAAGCTTCTGCTCTTCAGACTTCATGAAAATAAAAGTTAAGGTTGTTAGAATGAATCACTGATACTGAAAATATAGTCTGGAAGGGAAATTAAAAGATTAATGAGTGCAGCTGAATTATTAGTAAGGTTAACATAGCAGAAAGTAAAGGCAAAAATAATTTTCTTGAAAATATTTTGTCCTGTTTTCAAGTAAAGCAAACATCCTGAAAGCAAAATACATTTTACTTGAGAAGCAACTCAGCATACATCTTTAGGAAATATATCTGGAATTCATTTTTTTTTATTTTTCAAATCTAAACAAATGTGAGTTTTATGCTTAAAACCAAAAGAAAAACTACACGCTAGGGTAAGGTAAGAAAAATAAACAAGTATGCTCTCTGACAAGTCATATAATCAACAGTGTTGCTTTTAATGTTTTAAGGATGTGAACATCTTTTTAATGTAAAACGACAAAAATGGTGAATAAAAATGATTTTTGCATTTTAAGGAGAGAAATGATCAATTGTGCCTGCAGAGAACAGTGTATGTGCTCAGGCAGCTCATGGACAAATTGATTTTGCTGTAACGTGTGGGCAAAAGCAGGGTTTGATAACTCAAGCAATGCAAACAAAATTGCATGCACTCTCGCGCACATACACACAGATCGCTGACCACAGCATTTGTTGGATTTCATGTTTCCATTCAAGCACGCACCCATACACACAAACCTTTCATATCCAACCATAAATCCACAGACACACAAATAAAAGCAGGGTGGATCTTGTGTACAGATGAGCACCCACCAGATCCGGCACATGCATCGGCAGCAGCTGCTGGGGCCACACCCTCGCTCGGACCATCGCCTGGGGAGGGAGCAAACGCGTCTGGGCAGAACCAGACCAACAAAACCCAACAGAGAAACAGAAACGGGGATGAAGAGGCGATAGAGAGAGAAAGATTTCAATGTCAGTGATTACAAGTGAACAGAAACACTCTATATGACCCAAATGGCAGTAAAATATACCAGTGTGGGCTATATACAGTTTAAATCAGTGTGTCCACACACACACAAACACTGAGGGAAATGAGTCAGGCTGCGTGAAACATCCTGTCAATGCTGTCAGGACCAACAAGTGAGTAAAAGAAAGTGTTTGGCTTTGACAGCATGGTTTCTGTTAGCCGAGGCAGTGATGAACATTGTGGCATGTAATATTACAAACCCCATGGAGACCTGCACATCCAGGTACGAATTAATTCATTTATTAGCTGAGAGAAATAAAAATAGCTTGGGGTTGTTTAACTGCTGGTTGATTTAATTAGAGGAGTATTAAATCAACAGAATGCACAGCTTTGTACGAAATGAGCCAACGTCCTGTATAACAGAATTATTCTGCATTTGAAGGAAATGCATTAATTCTGCACAAGACTTTTGCTTGTACTTTAGCATCTTATTCCCAGTTTTACATTCAAGTGTCAACGGTAAAAATTTGACATTTGAATGGAAAACAAATTGTGGATGATTTATTCATGATCTGTGTCTGTAATGTTGTGTGAAACTTTTATAGACATTAACAGCAGAGTTATTATAGTAAATTAAAACTAAAAAGAATAAGAAGAAAAAAATGTGTTACTTAAAATAAAATATATTAAAAAATGTTTAACTGATTTCATTTCAGCTAGTTGCCAAGGTAACATTTCTCATTTTCATTTAGTTTAAATTAATGTACAAAAATAACTAAAACTAAAACTGATATTAAAATTAATAAAAACTATATAGTGATATTTTAAAAAAATTGGAATGGAAAATATAAAATTTTAAATATTAATAAAAATTATAATAGTACCTCAGTTACTAAAATAACATTGATCTACAGACATTTGTGCACTTTTTTCATTTAAAAGTACTGCTATATGAACAAAAGTGATATTGTGACATGATAGTGACTTCAGGCCACATTTTGGAAAAGCTATTAAAGAAAAGGCTGCCAATATGGCAAAGGGTGTTTACTTAAATATTAAACTGACAAGTTACTGTACCTTGCTGAAGTACCATAATGTCAGCTAAGTGACTTCAAATAGTACCAGTATCAATATATGTACACAAACAGACCAAACTGACTGCTAAACAACCCATGAACTCCCATTCTTCCCTGATAGTTAAGCCTGGAGATGACCTGACTGACCTCCAAACAGATCCATGTCTGAGATGGCGGCAGCGGGGGCAGGCACTGGCAGCGAGGCAGCGGCCGGGGCAGCGATGGCGTCAGCTGCTGGTTCGATAGCAGAGGCTGCGGCAGAAGCAGAGTCAGCCTCAGAAAGGGGCGCTTCAGAGCTAGCGGCAGCAGCAGCAGGAGTGGCCAGAGAGTCTGGAACCCCGCCACAGCCAAGCCACAACCAAACCACAGCATTCAGAAAGACAGAGGAGGAGGAGGAGAGAGAGACAAGGATGTAGACGGGATGAAAGAAAGTTTTTTATGGAGAGATTTTAGCAAAATGACTTCATAAAGCTACGGCTGGATCAGAAAAGTAGAGTGAAGATTCGGACAGTGAAAAGTTTGTTCAGAAAGTTCCTTGTAGACAAGATGCAAGAGTGTCATGCCCATTCAAATTCTGAAATGCTTAAAAAAAGCTTTTATGATAAAATAAAATAAACTCTGGATGTATTTGCAACCTGAAAATAATTTTTACTCACCCTCACCAAGCAGATCTGAAACCAAAGCCAAAAAAGAGGAGGGAAGAAGAAAAGAAGAAGAGTGTGTTAGATGAGAACAGATATTTGATCTGTCCCTGAATTAGTTGAATGTACAGTACAATTTGTCTTTCTAAAGAAACTGCAGCTTACAACTGGGACTTGACAAGCTTGGGCAGAAAAGCAGAGGGGAGGAACATTTCCCATTTGTCTGTCATTATAACTCATTAGAGTGCCCACTCAATATATATTCCCATAATTGGCCTAATTTGGGAAGAAATTGTTCCTGCAGTTTAGCTCAATGGAGTAACTAGTATATAATAGTAATATGAATCATATATACACAGATAACAACCTAAACCTCCAGTTTTTTAGTCTATTACAATAAGCGCTGGGATTTCTTGCACATTTTAATCTGAAACGTGATCACTTGACCTGACCTGATGAAACAATATTAAAGAATGTAATAAAACAACCCAATAACACTCTACAACACAAACTAAATGACACCAGCTCACCTCCCCATGATGCTGTGGGAGCCGCTGAAGCCCCTGTGGTTGGAGCCAACAGATCAAAATCCACTAGATCATTAAAGCCGCTACTGTATAGTGAAAAAGACAAGAGAGAGTGATGCATCTACAGGAAGCAAGACATTTCAGGATGCTTTTGTTTTATGTATGAGACATTTTTATACATTTTTTTGAACTTACTTGATGGTGGTTGTAGCTGATGCTGCTTTTGCAGGCTCTGCTGCGGCGGTCTCAGTAACCGCAGCTGCTGCAGCGGTGGGCTCTGCGGTTTTTGCAGGGGTACCAGCAGGTGTTCCATTATTTGTTGGAGATCCCTTCTATATGTGTCATATTGAGTTTACCATTTATTTAATTGAATACACAATAACATGAATAATGTCTTATAATACTGTATAATATTATGCAGAATAATATAAGCTACTATTCAAAAGTTGGAGGTCATATTTTTAATTCAGCGAGGATGCATTAAAATGATCAAATGTTACAGTAAATATATTTATAATATAAACAAGATTTCTATTTCAAATAAATGCCAAGTTCTGTCATGAAACTCTAGATGGCGCAGGCTGACGAGTCCTTACCGCAAACTGATGATATTCACAGTGTTAAACTACTCGGCACAAGCGGATTAGTTCATGTTGCATACGCAGCCAAATGAGCTTGCTGCGTTGCATTAAAATGACTGGTTAGCATTCACTAGAGCATCTTGCAGCGCGCTTTCAGAGTTCCTCTGAAACTCAACAGCTAGATAAGTGAACGGTCTATACTTCTTATTTCAGTGCATTATTGTGTTCGTCAGCTTTAAATTTATAAACTAGCAACCATATACAGTACAAGTTGTAAAACTACGCGACCATTAATTATGAATTAGTATAATATATAAAGATACTACTACTAATAATAATAAATCAGTTCAAATTAAGTTTGTTTCTGTGTAAAGTTGAACTATTATATTAGTTCTAGTCATCATTAAAAAAAATCATGTTTCAATAAAGTGAGTTATTTATTATATTTTATAATCACATTGCTAAGCCACTAGTTAATTTCTCTGGGCTTCACTAGCCCAGAAACACACTAGCCCAGAAATACTGAAAGAACATCAATATCATGGTTTTCACAAAAAAATTAAGCAGCCCATTTTTGTTTTCTACATTGCTAATAAAAATAAATTATTCTTAAGCACCAAATCAGCTTATTAGAAAGATTTCTGAAGGAACATGTGACATTGAAGACTGCAGTAATGGCTGCTGAAAATTCAGATTTGCCATTACAGGAATAAATCACATTTTAATATACTTCAAAAACCTAAAAAAAATTACTAACCTCAAACTTTTGAACTATAGTGTAATACTGCATAATCAAATTTTAAAAAATGTTTTTTTTTTTTTTTCATTACTCACCTTGGTCGGTGACCTAGTGATAGAAAACGTAAAGAATGTAAGAATGGCTTTTAAAATAACTTTTCCAAAACATCATACTCAAAAGGTTAAATGATGGAATTATAATAATTCATGACATGAGGAATTATATTCAAACAGCAGGCAGGTCAACAAGACATTATTAATGAAAATAAAATATATTTTTACTCTGCTACTTTTTGAAAATGTTCTTGTGGAAAATATAAACAATTCCAAAATATCCCCCTCCCCGCCAGGCATGCATTGGGGAATGTGAAGTATTCAGTTACAATACAAATGTGCACATGACACTGAAATTGAGAAATTGATCAATTCATATTGAGAAATTGATCAATTCAGGGCTGGCACTGTTAGTTTTTTAAGTTCAGTTTGTACAGAGTGAACTTAATTATAAAGCTAGACTAAAAATAATTCATTCTATAGAGAGAGGGAACTTCAACATTTTAAAATGCTGAAAATTAAAATTGAACTTCAACCATCAATCTATAGAACTTTGAACACCACAATGACGACAAAATCACCATTACAGTACGAAAATATAATCATCTTTACATATATGTTAATTCTGCAGAAATACTTACTCATCACTGTTAACACAAGGAAAGGAGGAACAATATTACTCTTTGTAATAAAAGTAGTTATTTTATTAGTAGTAAAAAGGCTTTGCTTATTCGAGAAAAAGCAGAGACTCTCATTTATTTTATTACTTCATGTTATTCAAAAGAATTAAATCACTTACACTTTCTTCCCCTCGAGCGTGTTGAGATGGGTCTCCAGAGATTCCAGAAGACTCTCAGGGGCCTACAAAGCCATAAAACAATGCACTGTTAAAAGTGACCTATAAGGACACATTGTTTCAGACTACAAAACACAAAAAGACAAAGTCAAGCTGCTAACACTAAATGAAGACAAGTAGAGGACAAAATGTACTAGAAAATTACTATAGCACTTTATAAGTTTCTAAGACAATAAATGTATACAAGCAATAGACTTAAGGCTTACACTGGTTCGGATGCAGAGCACAATGCTTTAGTTTATGGCCCCAGTGGGGCCCACAATGCACTGCAGCATGCTCACTCATGCATTCAGGCACAACAGAAAGATTCAGAGCACATTATTTGTTAGACATGCCACATAATCGCTGGTGGGTGTATCTCATGTGTAAAAATGTCATGCAGTTACAGCTAAATAGGCCAGACAAATCATATAAATTAAAATAATATATAAAAACTAGACCATTTTTGTGGTTACTTCACAAATAATAGCTAAATAAAAAGTCTTTGGCCTAGGGCAATATAATATGATGTGCCATAGCACCAAAGAGCATTTATTGATTGTCTAGGTCTAGTCAAAATACACACATCTAACATAAATGATATGACATCTGATGTCACAAAGCCTTTACAATTCTCAAATTCATCTTGAAAATGAAATACAGTTTGATCAGGTCTGTAATATCATTACCAGTATTAATATTATAAAATCAACTACCTATCACGAGTGGAGTGCCCTGTCGGATTTGGTGACCCTGCTATATGTCTGTAGCGGTTTATATAAAAACAAAATGCACTCTAGAATATGAAGCAGAGTAATTTTGACATCAACAGAGCAAGTCTACAGAACATTAAAGCAATTCTGTGTAAAATAGAGAGAGGTAACAGATTTCGGTAACCTTTAATGCTGCCTTGTTGGACTTGATGTCCCTGGTGCATGTCTAAAGCGGTTCACATCAGACCAAAATACTTTCTAGAGTATGAAACAGAAGAGTTTAGAAATCACTAGAGTGAATTTACTGAACATTAAAGCAATTCTGTGTAAAACAAAAAAACATAGGGGGGTAACAGACTTCAGTGACCTCTAATACCGCTTTATCGGCTCTGGTGACCCTGCTGTGTGTCGGTAGCGGTTTATATTATATAAAACAAAACTACTTTCTAGAGTATGAGGCAGAGTAATTTCAACATCACCAGAGTGAAATGGCAGAAAATTAAAGTAATTATGTGTAAAAAAAGAGGGGAGTTACAGGTTTCGGTAACCTTGAATGCTGCCTTGTCAGATTTGGTTTCCCTGCTGTATGTCTGTATTTAGCAAAATGCTTGCTAAAATACAGAAAAGTGAATTTGAGAAGCATTACAGTCTGTCCTTAATAATAAATTTAACGAAACATTTAATGAACTGCGACCTCACCGACTTAAGCAGAACATCGGTTACCTGACTGATTTACAGTGCTGCCATGGAAACATACGTCATTACGTCTGCAAGTTGGTGTGTTTGACCAATCAGAATGGAGTATTCCAGAGTATGATTAATATACATGAGCTATTGCTGGTCATCAAAATAGTATATGATATTTCATCCAGTAATACCAGCAGTGGCAGCTAAACCAATCCTTCAGGGCAGCACTCTCAGACAATTATACTGGCGCTCTAGCAGACAGATTAGTGATTTGAGAAGCGCCTCTGGTCAAATACACCAATTCTCTAACCTTAGCCATACCCTCAATATCACTCACCCCCTTTCCCATTCTCTGTCTCACCCACACACACACACACACACACACACACACAGTTAAACACTGTCATACACATTTACAATGAAGATTAATTTTCATACAATTAATCCATTAATTACCCTGTACTTTATACTGAGCTGATAACAGTGATTAAACAGTGTGTTAAACACAAATGTGTGTGGTTAAGAACCTAGAAAGACTCTAGTGCTGTGTCTCTTTAGCTCCAGTAAGACATGAGAGTTTTTTGTTGTGACACAAATGCTTAACTGAAAAATGCATGAGCGTTAAAAACATTTCTTTTGATTACTAATTGCAGTCAGAGTGGGAGGGGTTACATCAAGTTTAATGAAAGAGACCAGGCTTTTCTCAAACTAATATTTCTTCACACTAATCGCAGATAAAAACAAATAGTCTGCAAATTAAAATTCTGTTTGGTTATGTAGATTGTGATCGCATACACAACTGATCATGTAAGGAGATGATCTATCAAACTATGCAAAATGCAGCTATCAAAGGACTTCAATACACTAAAGACCTTTAAATAGGAATGTAAGAAGGAATATCTAAATTGTGTGTGAACATAAATACACCCTGTAAAATTCATCAAATTTCTTGAGCTACACAGCTGTGCATCCTAGGCCAAAACCCAATTAATTACAACCACTGCCAAATCCAGAACCCAGGCAGTCATGCACGTCTCCCTGCAGCATGTCCTGAACTCCGCCGTTGATCCAGAATATCTGAAGAAGGCAACCATCCTACCCTAGCATCACGCACAGCATGCTTTCAGAGCAAGCCTCCCCATTTCTGCCAGCATGAAAAACCTTCCTAATCTCGTAACAGAGCTCCCACAATCATAAAACCATTAGAACGTTCTGTTTTATAGAGTCTGATTAGTTTCCATGAATAGGGTGCAAAACTGAAACTATTAAAAAAATAAAAGTCACTAAGTCTTTTTCAATAAATGGTAAGGTGGCAGGAGGTCAAAAATGTTATGGATATTTTTAATTTCTAATAATTGTATAATTTAAATGTGTATTTCCTATAAATTAAAAAATAATATTTGCTTGATTATTTTGGGTAACAGTTTTGAAAGCCTGACAGAGGCAGTCAACAAAACAGCATTTGCAAAAATTAAAATTAAAAATCCATTAAAATAAAAAGTTTTTTTTTTTTAACTGTCTGCTGTAAAAAGAGTTCAACATTTTATTTCGTGGGTGCCAAATTTAAACAATATTTGTAAAAAATGGTGAAAAATTACTATAAAAATAAAAAGAATTTTTAAAAATGTCATGCTGTATGAAAGGGTTCAAATTTTACTTCTTGAGCAACAAATTAAAAAAAAAAACATATTACATTTCTTGTAATATGGTGAAAATGTTACGTTTGTGCATAAAAAGCTAAAATTACCAAAATCATAATAGCTCTTACAAAAGAAAAACATTCAATTTGTGCCTGTAATGCTTCAAAAAAAAAAAGAAAGAAAAAGTCAGAGAACACCAAAGTGCTCCATATTCATGGAAAGTGCCCATTTTCATATTTTGCTCATCTAAAATGTAGAAACCATTCTCACATTTCACTCATTTAAATACTCCATCAGAAAGAAATTTACTGAAATTCCCAAAATCGTCAGACGTCTTTAAATAGTTCCTAAGCAAATTGCTTTATTCTACATATAGCATGGGTCTTAATGATTGTGGAAACTCTATTCTTGGTGATTCTTCAGCATTACTGGGATGCAAAAGTGACTGCAGCTTGAGTTCTCGTCTCAGACAGCAAGCATCGCTGCTACTCTGCTCATGATCCTTCAGTCGCATCCAAGTTCACTCTAAAATGAAATTTTGTGTGCAGTTTATTTGATGAACGCTAATGAGGATTGACTGCTCTCTCCTGAGCTGCAGGATTCTCCAAAGTGGAAAAAAACTCCACACGCTACTCACACTCTCAGCCTGTGTGATCAATCTGCACCGCTGAAATAAGAAGACAGGTACAGAATCTGTCAATCAGCCTGAGGGGACAGGACAGAATGGATCCATGGAACATGTCCCATCTGACATATGCCCCAACATGAGAGAAGAATGACCTCTTATATGTAGCACATGGATGTCTGTGACTGGCCCAGTGGCCAGGGAAGGATAACAGCCTCACAATTGGCTAAAACCGCTGGGATTTGAGGGCTACGACACATGCAACACATTAAAACAACACCACAACACAGACATGCATTGTTAGTACTGACGTGGAGAGTGTTGGCATCATGAGGCATGGAAAAAGGCGGAAAATGCTGTTTAAAGAGAGCCTTACCTGTGTAAGTTCAGGAATATCGTTTTTGTCAATTCCCACTTGCTGTTGAAAGACAAGGTAAGAATATATGACATAACCTTTGAACCACAAATGCAATTTTTGATTAATATTTTATAATTAAAGCAAAGACATAAAATGCATTGTTTACCTCAGCAATTTTGAGGAACTCTGAGACTCTGGTCATTCGTGTCAAGAATCTTTTATAGATTTCCAATGCATCTTTGCATTGTCCTTTCTTCATCTGGAAAAATTTCTCTAAAAATGAACAAGGAAATCATAGTAAATCACATAGTTGTGCCAAATCTTGCAGATGTCAAACCAAAGACTTTGAAATCTCAATGCATTCATAAAATTCTTAGGACTTGCCTAAGAGATTAATGATGCCATCATTGTAGCAGGCGTACAACTTGATCAGATCCTTGAAAAGCAACAGGAAGGCAGCATTGATCACCCCGTTGGCAAGATCTTTTGGATGAACCTGAAAGTGCAGATTCTATTATTTTTCAAATTTTAAAAACATCATTAAAATGTCAGTATGGGACAGATTCGTATCTTGCAAGAGTGTATCCTAACAAGGCATGATGAACCCTGTGTAAAAGCATCAGGTGTTAAAACAGCCTGTGATAATGACAGGAAGCAGACTCACATCAAACTCCAGCAGAGCATCGATCTGACTCTGCAGTGTGGGCATGCCTTTCAAGAGCTTGTCAGTAGACATTGTTCTCATCACACCATCAGCACTGAGAAACACACACACATTCACATGACATTCATTGCAAAGAATTTATCATATGTAAGTGAACGTAATCCAAACAAGACGGTCAGGTATAATAACAATTCTTGGGTTTTTATCTAACATAAATGTTAAGATCATATGACTTAAAGTACTTTTGGGAATTTTACATCTCATAATACAAACCTTTAAAACTTAATTTGTTACATTGTAGGACCATTTAAAATGAGCTAGTGAAAATTGTGAAAAATGTAAAGGAAATAGTGACCAAAGCATCTACAATTTTGCATCTGTTTGCATTTTAATTTAAAATCTTAATGAAGTCTATGAACGTATTTGGTGTTAACTACCCATATACTGTATAAGTAACATAGCAGAAATAAATTATACAGTCAAATATGACCAATGAGAGGTTGCCTTTAAGGGAACATGACTAGAAAATGAACTATTTTTAAGGCCCATTAACACCAAAAATTATAACTATAATGATAACTATATTAGCGTCCACACACTGACACACTGTAATGTTCTGTTTATTATAAGCATGTGCTGCAGTTCTGACATCTGCCTCTTTAAATGCTGGATTCTGATTGGCTGTCAATTTTTATTGTTATCACCACATTCTGAAAGTGATTCCAATGACATCATTCCACTGTTGCCATTATTCTTTTCAATTTAGAATGATTTTCTAAAGTATATCTCATTATCATCCTTGATGTCAATGGCCATTAGTCTCTAATCATCTGGTGTGTGTGTGTGTGTGTTTGAGTTGTTAGCTGTGAGTTGTTTTGTTCAAGACGTCTGAGCAAGCTAAATCAGCCAATTTATGTGTTGTAGGTCCTTCATTGTGCCTGCAATGAGACCTTGGTCGCCAACATACAGTAGGCAGTCTGTGAGTAATGCCCCATTTTACTTAACAAAGGTCTTGCACACAATAGTACCAAGGGAGCAGGGAACTTGGTGAATGTAAATGCTTTTCTACAGCAGCATCACAAGGCTCTTTTCAGGGGCTAGAGGTTGTCCTTGATTTCCCAGCATCCCACTCAAATCTGTTATTGCTCAGTAGCGTTCCAATGCAATTGGCACAATTGTTAACTCAGGGTACAGCCATGCAGCAGAGGACTCATTTACCCTTTCTTCACTCGGCCAAAGTCAAAAGCCATCTGTCTGTAGGCAAACGCTTTCTCGTTCAGATACCTGCTGTAGCGTCTGATAAATGTTGACATGTCGTAACCTGAAAAGTGCAAGCATTTATAAATACATTCATATTCACAGACAAATTCAATTGGGCAGGACAACAAAGTTGACAAAATAAGAATTCTCAGTGGCTAATTTAAGAACAGTGCAATTAATTATAGCTCGCATAACTTTTCATGGTGATTTAATGTCAAACAAGATTTTGATCAGCAACTGCATTCACTGCATGAAATAATACTTACCATGAGAGCCAGTTTTGTCCAAAAAATTACTAAGATTGAATAGGGTGTTCCTGGAGGCCAGGTACTGGATGAACCTCTGAAAAAAAACAAAAAAAAGGTAATCTTTTCATGTGCATTAATTATTATAATTCAGAATATGGGATCATTCATATGTTAGGCTGTTATTCACAACATAAAAGACTACAATTTCAGTACTGCCCTTAATAAATAAAAAAAAAAAAGAAAAAAAAATGTCCAACAGCAACTGAAAGAGATACAGAGATAAGAAATGCATTAGTAAATTGCAGTTCAGTGAAGAAAAAATAATCATTTCTACAAACCCGATATTACCATCTAATGACTAATCACTCAGAACTCACATTAAAGCTCTGAGTGTGAGTGAATGCAAATATGGAAATAACAGCAGAGGTTTTATCAAGAAAAACCAGCACACTCGCTGCATATAAGCAGTGAATACAGCCTGAATTTACAAACAAATTGATGCGGCTTAACACATAAATGAAAAATTGTAGGTAAACAAGACTAGGGGGAAAAAAGTGCAACGAAAATGAAATGTACAGAAAATAATTGACTAAAAATAATTGGACAGAACATGCTGTATGATTCCATGCACAGTATAAAGTATTTAACTGAAATAGTAAAAATCAGTACAAATATCTCAAATCTTTAAAACATGATAAATTTACTTGAGAAGCAAAACTATATAAGATAAAACATTTTTTTTAGAGAATATATGTTGAATTTGTTTTTTTTCTTAGCCCATTTTCAATTTTATTATTTTTTATTTATTTTTTAATATAAATGCTATTAGACTTTTGCTTAAAACAAGAAGAAAAAAAAACTATATGCCAAAGAGGTAAGCTTATAGAAAAAAATAAGCTTAATTTAAGAAAAATAAGGTATATCCTCTACAGAAAGCCATATTATGTAATGCAATTTGTTTCTAAAATTTGTTTCATTAGATGTTTTACTTGAAAAAGAGAGAAAAAATACTGATGAAAGAAACTGATTTATCGCAGTTTTGGATCATGAATTCTGGGGGAAAAAAGAAGGTATATTATTTTATTTACTCGTGAATGATCTTTTCAAGATATTTTGCAAACCTATCCCAGCATTACACCATGTCTGTGTGCTGTGCCTTTTCAGTTCTGCCTTTCAGAGTTTAACTGATGTGTCAGCTGATCAATACAGAGGCTTGTGGGGAGATGAAGCTATATATAATGTACTTAACACTTTTAATCATCTTGGTCAGAATACTAACCATTTCAAATATCCATGTGTCAGGGTAAATACTTCCCTTGTGCATATGACCTGTAGAGGCACATAGCCTGATGTTATAGAACACATATCCTGCAGACTTTTTCCTCCAGAGTGAGAGTATAAGAGTCTAATCACTTCCTGTCTGGCTATCAAGCTATACCTCTCTCTCCTTGCTTTCATATCCACAACAACAAATTAAACATTAGGGGGAAGATTATCAAGCAGCACTTCTGTCCCCTCAGACAAAGCAGTCTGGCAGGTCACATTCATAATTGAATAGCTCTCTTTAATTAGAATATTGGAAAGTGAGCTCATCTACCATATATTATAGTTATGACATTTTCCCTCATTGTATATTCAGCAGAATGAAAGGCAATGCTTTCAGGAGTAATCAACACTGTATTTTACATAATCACATGCATATGAGGGGACCATCACTTTTAGCCATGGATGATTTTATAGACCCCTCTTACTCAAAACGAAACACCACAAGACGAACAAATCAGTCTCTTTCTGTTTAAATGTTAATCTGTTGATTCATTTGTAAGTAAAGTATAATCAATAAATTAGCATTGGTGATATAAAATCCCTGAACGACAGTTGGATGAAATATCTCAAGTTCATTTAATCATTTTGAAAGACATTAATACTTGTTTTCAGCAAAGCTGTATTAAATTGATCCAAAGTGACAAAAATTTCTACAATGTTAAAAAGACTGCTATTTCAAATAAGTGTGATTGTTTTGAACTCAAAGAATCATTGATAATAAATAAACATTGATAATAATTTTCTTGAGCACCAAATCAGCATATCAGAATGATTTCTGAAGGATCAGACTGGAGTAATGGCTGCGGAAAAATCAGATTTGCCATAATAAAAATTAATGATATTTTACAATATATATAAAAAGAAATCTGTTAAAAAAATTGTAATAATATTTCACAATATTACTGTTTTTACTGAAGTTTTGATCAAATAAATTCAGCCTTGATGAGCATAAGAGACTTCATCAAAAAAAAAATTTAAAATCTCTTACCGTCCCATAACCTTTTGAATGGTACTATATATAAAAATAGGAGGTTGTTCAATTAGTTGTGCAAGAATTAATATTCATGAGCTACACCTTTGCCATTCTATCATGTCACAATTAGCATGTCCTTGTGCACACCTCTATAACTGTCCCTAACACTATTTATAATACAGTGACGCCTATTCACACGTAACCCGCATCTGTAGCTTCATATTTATTCAATTATCCTTTGAAGCTGCACCTCTCCATCTCTGAATTTATATCAATTCCTCTCAAGCTCCCTCATTTTATCATCCATTCTTCTCGCCCTTTATCTCATTCTGCCTTCCACTGCCATCCGCCTTTTCTCTCTCCGATGTCTCTGTCGCCGCACAGCGCCAGCCTTGACTGAAAGAGTAAAAACTGTGCTTTCAGAAAGAGAGAGAAGGCTGGAGCATCTGCCCGCCTGTCTGTCTCTGCTCCTATTGTGAGTCTGATGGGTGTGATAACGGTGATAAGAGAAAGCGAGAGGGCTTTGAGTGCAATAGGTGGTCAACTGTAGGGATAAGCTCCTCAGAAAATTGTTCAAATTCAAGGCAAGACTTCACAAACTTTTGTTGCACGGTTTAAACAACACTTTTGATGTAGGTTAAATATTATGCAGACACTGCATTAACGTCTTTCAGAAATGCAATCATCTGCGACCCAAGCCAGAATCAATTAGAAAACACTTTTCCAAACCACTTATTTTGTTGCATTATTGAGCCATTTAATACATTCTGAGTTGAAATGAGAATTTTGAGCCAGGTCAGTGCAGTAATTCTCACAAACAGCAAAAGTCTGACTGTTTTCAGCTTTTAAGTGTTTGCCCCCTGTCCAGTGAAACAAACATTCATTCAACATTCAACAAATGTATTGCTCATTATTAGTTAATGTTAGTTAAGCATTAAATATAGTCAACAAATGGAACCTTATGGTAAAGTGTTACCGAAATTATTATGCTTACCGAGGCTGCATTTAGTGGATCAAAAAATCCATAAAAACAGTATTATGCAGATTTTTTGTAATATTACTTATTATTATCAACATTGAAAATAGTTGTGCTGATTAATATTTTTGTGGAATTTTTCAAAAATTACCTTTTGAATGATAAAACCACTACTAGAGAGATTGCATATTTTGTCTAAGTGGACTTTTGACTCAAAACTGTATAATTACTGAGATACAGCCCCTGTGACAACTAGCCCCAGTTTGACATATAGGCACACAGACAGACTTCAGCTCAGTATATGCACCACAAACATCTATCCATAACCATACCTGACACTATGTCTTCATAATAATCATTTCATTCAAAATATTAGGACTTAATACTCGTTTACCTCACAAGTATCATATAAATAACACTGCCGTAATCAATTGCTTGATTCTCACCTCATTGCCATGGACCATCAGGTGGTGAGTGGTGACCAATGCCTTGAAGACCACAATCCAGCTGGCATTTCCCGCTCTCTCAAACAGGGTATCAGCCATCTGGGGAATATTGACATTGGACTCCTGGGTTGCCTGGATCAAGTCTGTGAGGGAATATGAAATAGAATATTCAGAGCTTATCTAGATCTTTAAATATTTAAGTTGAAAGTATTTAACAGTTTCTCCGACCGTACTGTATTATGGCACTCTGGGTAAAAGCAGCAGGCACAACACATACCAGAACATCATGGTAAGAGTAACACACAGGAACCAGTGCTATTCAGTGTTGTCCTGCATTCATTTTCAGTCTTACTCTGTTTCTGAACTGTGCTTAGCATGCTAGTATATCAAACATACTATTAAAAGACATTTAGGGTCAGAAGGCTCAATCATGAGAGAGTTCATTTAAATTAAAATCATTTAAATTCTCAATGTTGGTATGGCATATAGTATCCATAAACTCGGAGTTTAAAAATAGATCAACACAGATATAGTAGACGGTTCGATAGCTAGACAGACCGTTAGACAGACAGACCGATAGATAGTTACACTGTTAAACAGACAAGCAGTTGGATAGTTAGGCTGTCAGGCAGAAAGATAATTGATGAAATAGTTGATCAGCGAGAATGTCAGACATGCAGATAGTTACATACTAAAAGCTAGAAAGAGTTTGTTAGGCAGACAGAGAGTTAGACATAAAGACAGACAATTAAACAGACAGGTATAGACAGTTAAACAGACAGGTAGTCAGGTAGACAGACAGACAGATAAGTTTTCAAACAGAAAGACAGATTTTCAGACAAATAGTTAGACAGGCAGACAGATCGACCAAACAAACAGATAGACAGACCAACAGAAAGACAGAAGGAGAATGTTGAAAAGTTAGACAGATGGATAGACAGACATAGTTAGATACATTGTTTAACAGATAGTTAGACACAGATAAGCAGATTTTTCATTTCTCAGTCCTTCTCCTTTTCTTTCTATCACACCTTCACTACTGGAGAAGGTGTGCACACACAGATTTGTATCTGTCTCTAAGGAGATTATGACAAAGCAGCCTGCTCTCCTCTGTAGGGTATCAGACCGAATCAGACAATCTAAGATTTGGTCAATAAAGCCTTATTTATATTGAAAAGAAGTATCTTGTGTTTTGTGCTTACAAGTTAATGTCTTAAACTGCCGATCTTGTTACTGTGCTAATTAATAGTGTTTTCACTATATTTTGGATATAAATATCCATTGCAGAGTTGATGTTATACGGCTCGTTCAATGACTCGCTGGCCGTCTCAGTGATCAGCCGTAAAACAGTGATTCTGTCCAAATTCCCTTTAAAATCTTAAATGATTCCCTTTGAGCTAAATTGACCTGTTTCCCTTACACCTCCTACAGACCACACCATCCATCCTTCATCATGAACTACACATCACAACACAAATCCTGAAACCACAGCAGTGTCTGGATTCAAACATTATTTTTACATACTGACAAGCACTGTAAGAGAGTCTCAATAATTCTGGCATCATTTAATATATGATTATAATCCAATTAAGAGACTATGATGTATATTTCACAACGGAACAACTTGCAGCTTCTCCTCTCATCACATAGGAAATGATAAATTATTTAAAGGCGAAATAGGGTAGAAAAACACCAGGGGACTGAGGGATGCAGTCACCTTGACTGAAAGGGGAAGGGTACGCACACATTCATGTACAAAATGAGATTACATAATCACAGAGACCACAATAATAGGGCATCCTCAAAAAGGCTTAAAAATTGAACATCACCCTGGTTTGGCAGCTTAAAGTACATCAACACAGCCTGATGGGATGAAATGTGAGATCAGAACCACCTTCATATGTCACCTGAACTAAATCTAAAAAAAAAAAAAGAAAACCTAGTTGTGCCCTAGTTCTTTTTCTCACAATATGACATAGATACTTCAGGTCATTGTATTTGTATTTATATTTAAATTTTTTACACTGACGTTCAAAAGTTTGGGGAGAGTACTTTTTTTTTTTGTTGTTGAGAGAGAGAGAGAGAGAAAGAGAGAGAGAGAGAGCGAGAGAGAGAGAGAGAGAGAGAGAGAGAGAGAGAGAGAGAGAGAGAGAGAGAGAGAGAGAGAGAGAGAGAGAGAGAGAGAGAGAGAGAGAGAGAGAGAGAGAGAGAGAGAGAGAGAGAGAGAGAGAGAGAGAGAGAAATTAATGCTTTTATTCAGCAAGTAGCAAATGAATCAAAAATGACAGTAAAGACATTTAGAATGTTACAAAATATTTCGGTTTCAGATTCCAAACAAATGCTGTTTTTTTTTACTTTATCAAATAATACTGTTTTCAACATTAATAAATGTTTCTTGAGCACCAGTTCAGCATAATATGATTTCTGAAGGATCATGGGACACTGGCTGAATAAATTGCATTTTAAAATATATTAAAATAGAAAACTGTTATTTTAAAATGGCAAAACTATTTACTGTATAATCAACAGCAACAATATTAACAATATTACTGTTTTACTGTATTTTTGATCAGATAAATTCAGCCTTTGTGAGCAAAAGAGATTTCTTTCAAAAACATTAAATAAAATACATTAAAACCCCAACATTTTGAACAATAGTGTATATGTGTTCTTTCATATAATTTCAGTACCCAGTGCCTAATGCCTCTGTTACAACACAATAAACCAAATGGCTCCTTAAAGAGTTTGGTAAAACAAGTTTGTTCAGCCTTATAAACTTTGAAAGACGTAAAGTTTGCTTCGTCTGAATTATTGAATTCGCTCAATGCAGTGAAGCAGAACATTTACTTATGTACCGTACGGCCAACAAAGGCATTTTTTTGAAGTCTGCACCAGAGAGTTATAAAGCCCAACTGTGCCTAAAACAAATTACAATCACATATGAGTCATACTATATTAAAAGTTCGTTTTGTGCACTAGTATTTCAAAGGACACAGTATATCTGACTTAGCATTCACTTCCTAAATTATTTACGAAGAGAGATAAAAAGCTGGGGGTGGAGAAACAGTAGTGCAGTCAGATATGAAGCGTCTCACGGTTCTCACTTTACACATGGCAGGAATGCTTACACATGCACAAAATCTTGAAAAAACAGCCAAACATTAAACAACTTGCTAAACTGAAGCACTACACACAATACACAAATGGTATCAGAGTGCAGCAGTCACACTGTAAATGCAGTGAGAAGCAGCTGCACCGCCAGCTCATATAGCAGACTGAAAAACTACCCTGCAGCCTCCTGGGTGGTTGACATTTAATCATGACATGATCATAAATAAGATATAATATATAGATATAAGATATAATATATCTTATATATAATATATATTGTTTTGCACTAGTATTTTAAGTAGGCCTACCACTCAGCAATTTCAGTGAATTACAAATCTTGTGATAGTATTCTGAGTACGGTTCATTCGTTTTAGTGAATTACCAACCAGACATAGAAAATCTGTTATCTTTAACATGATTAATTTAGGGCTATTTTTACATAAAACTCTTAATAGCAAGCAGAAATACAAGAATAAACCATGAAAATTAACAATATATTGATAATAACTTACACACAGCAACCTGACCTCAATAGACCAAACTAGCGGAAGGTGACAACTGCAGTTTTACTTTTTCTTTAGAGTTCTTGGTTGAACAAAAATTGTTTGTCCAATCTTTACAAACAATATAGTGTCTCTTGCAACTTTCTAAAGTACATGCTAGGCCTCATTATCTACCTGTTTGCTAGTTTCCTGTGTTTATTGTCATGTTCATTACCAGCCTTGATTGTTCCCATATGTTTCTTTAGTCATTAGTGTTAATTATAAAACAACAACTCACCGATCAATACCTGGTTACACTGACTAATGCTAGACACAGCACAAGGGAAATGTGTGGACTAGAAATACATAAGAGCACACCTGATAACAAGACAACTGAAGAGGATCCAATCACAGGCCAAGAAATTTCTAAAAACAAGACATGACATGAGAAGACAATAAAGACACAAAAACTGAATACTAATAATCTGAAGAGAGATAGATTCACATCCTAATAATTAAAGGCACAATCAGATATTGCTGCAACAGTGATATTTCAAACTAACCCGTTTCCATACAGCTCTTATTATTGTAGTGCATGCTCTGCGGCTGGGTGAGTTCTGACTAGGTTTGCGTCCAATTACTCACAGAGATTGTAAAATTATGAGAAATGATTGTGAAGGTGCATTCTTTGTTAGTTAAAGTGACTTAATTGTGTGTAATATTGCATGTTGTGGATGTGAGTAACCATTGCTGAGATGTCTACTCCTATAAGTGTCATTTTCTATGTATTGTTATGTCATCATAAAAGCTTGTTTAATATCACAGAATGCTTCTGTAATATAAGCTGTCAATGAAGTGTCATGTGATAGTTTCTTTGAGTTTTATTGCAAACTTGCACAATGACCAAGCAACCAGATGAAAATTTCATGCAAATCTTAGCATGCTAAGGTGCATTACAGTCAGCTTTTTATAACAAGTGATTGTCTTAAATATTTCAGACCTTAAATAACCTGGCCATGGTGTACTTATCTTATTGTTTTAGACAAGTTTAATGTTTGCATATTTTTACCAATATTCCCCAGCCAAAGATGCTATACTACTAGCTGCTTGACTTTACCGAAATTGACAGTTTCGCCATGTCCATTCTGCAGAGCTATGCAAACTGACGAGCGTAATGGAATTAATGTTGCTTTTAAGATAGAGTGTGTAAATAAAATGAGAGCTGAATATGTGTATTTCGAGAACAAAAACAGCCATATACCGCTGCACATGAATGAAGCCTGCAAAGCTCTATTTATTTATAGGCCGCTCCCTGGAGCAAAACAACTGAGAGACTGCCCATGTGCCCTCACTGGCAAGCAGCGTGGCGACGTAGCATCCAAGAAGAAACCAGTGTAAACCAGCCTGTACAGGAGAATATCTTCCTTTCTGTAGTGCAGATGTGAGTGTATATCATGCTTAAATCATATATTAAAGGGGTCATATAATGCGATTTCAATTTTTCCTCTCCGATCACAAATGCAGACATGGTTTTATGTTACGCTCCGGCC